AATGATTTCATACATTCCGGGCATAAAATTATTCATAAACTAAACAGGGCCCCTGATAGCTGAGTGACTAGTGCTCTGGCCCCCGGTGCCACAGGTTTCGGATTCGAGTCTCGGCGGTGATAAGGAGACTTGTAGTGGTTCAGAATACACTTTAAATCTTAGGTCCCGTTCTAATATGACTACTACTACTACACCATACCACATCATTGTGCCTAGAGCTGAGTTACCCCTATACAGTTTGGAAATGATGTGGATGAGAAGTCTGACTGGGTTCTGTGGAGCTCTTACAGTCATGTGAGACCGGGACCTACAGCTTAAAGTGGATTCAGAACCACTAGAAACGGCCATAAACACGGGACTCGAACCCGAAACCTGTGGTACCGAGCGTTAGACACTCAGCCAACATGCCCACGGTTTAATATGACAGTAGAGCGTCAACCCTACCCCATAAAAAGAAAACATCTCTTGTCCCGAAATCTGCCAGTAGGCAGACGGCCTTGGTCCATCATGGGACTGGTGCGTCAATGCAGAAGAAATAACTAAATATGTTTAATATATTTGGTATTATTTGTATCAAATATTAACGATTTGTTCAATTACTCCAACAACTCTGACGATCGAAATACTACGCTACGCTATTTTCTTATTCCTAACTGGACACCGTAAATACCGTTATCAGTGCAGCCAGACCGTAAGATTTGTGTTTTTTTGTTGAGAGATTCTGTAGTGAATAATTTATTATAAAATTTTTGTTCTTTTTATTAATGATAGTAACTATAATCATAAAAAACTGTTGTGTTGTTGTGACAAATCCTCCGTATCCTGCAGCGCGGGACGGACACCCCATGAGTAATCTGCTAATAGATGGAGGGAAAGGGGGCAGCTTTTGTTGTGATGGAGCACCCGTAGGTAGAAGTTTGACTTGTTTCCGTGACGCTGAAGAAGGAGGGTAGCGCCTTTTGGGAGGACTTTATAGGGAGAACCATCTCGCATTGGCGTATCGTATGGGAGAAAATACGAAAATCTCCCTCAGGTAATCCGACTCACGAGGCAAGATGCTGAATATCACAAACGCCATCGAGCCTCGTCGTTTTCTTGTAACACTGTTTACAACAGAGCGGCCAGTGGATTGAACCTCAGCCCTAATTGCTCACCAGCGGCACACATTGTCATTGAGCCACGAGCCAGGAGCAAATAGATTTTCCGAATCAAAACTCTTTGGTCCGAAACACGACCTGCAATACCGACGCAAAAACCTTTGCTGGGAAATGAGCATGTACAATTTGTAGATAGGAATGATCTTTCGTTGGGTTCGAGCCCTCCCCTACCCCTGGGGCCACCCCTGGAAGTTTTCCCAAACACGCTTTTATGGACGTCACAAAGCCCATACCAAAACAACATTGTTTTAAACATGGTGAAAAAAAACAACAACAACTATAGAGATTAGTATTGTTTAATTATGACTCGAGAGTATTTTTTTGATATGACTTAAGAGTATTTTTTAAAATGAGTTATTAGAGAGTTTTTGCATACCGTACGTTAGTTACCGTAAGACGTCCGTTAGTTTTTTCTCCCTAGCGCGCATGCTCATAAGAAATTATGTTTCCTATGAGCATGCGCGCTAGGGAGAAAAAGCTAACGGACGTCCTTACGGTAACTAACGTACGGTATGCAAAAACTCTCTAATGACGAAGGTTTCCTGACACTTTAAAAAAACAACAAAGCATTCTCGAAATAAATGTTTCGTTTGATTTCGCAGACCAGATCGCTAGATAAGGCGATCGCTTTATAAATAAATCGACGATAATTTCAAATAAATAAATGCAGTCACTGAAAGTAATTGTAAAACTGAAAGTGATGCAATTAGAAGCGCTATCTTATCTGGCAAACATAATGCACTTGAAAAAGAGCACGACAGAAAATAAATGATGATTCATTGGAACAAAGGATTTTTTAAACATTGTGCTTACAATAAATATTTTTTGACATGAAAGTGAAAACACTTTTATATATTTTCGTTTTCACATTCGTCATCACTTTCTTTGAATTACATGCCCTCGATTCATTGCTGTTACTACGGCAACATTCCTACTTACAAAAAAAAAAAAAAAAAAAAGTCCCTCTCTTTCTCTCCTTACACATATACACACACACTTCTTCACTGGCGCAACAATCCCATGGGGAGTCAAGGCCGTCTGTCTATTGATTGATTTCGAAACATGAGATGTTTCCTTTTCATTGAGTAGGGTTGTCAGCCTTACGCCCAATGCTCTACAGTCATATCAGACCGGGACGTACAGTTTAAATTGGTTTCTGAATCACTGTAAACATCCATGGTGAGGAGAATGAATGTTGTTGAGCACATCTTCCCACCTGAATGCGTGACTGGCCACCACTTCACACCATGCATTGGTGCGTGATTGGCTCTTTAGCGTTGTTGTTACTTATCCCACTTGGTAGACATCTAATCTAGACAAGCCCACCAACCCGTATGGACTCATGGTTGAAAGGGAAGGAAGCAGCTTTGTTGTGATGGAGCACCAGTAGGTAGAAGTCTTACCTTTGCTGCGTACTACTCTTACAGTCATAGGAGACCGGGCAGTAGGTAGAAGTCTGACTTTTACTCTGTAATACTCTTACAGTCATAGGAGACAGGGATCTACGGCTTAAAGTGGATTCCGAACCACTACAAACATCCATGGCACCGTCGGGACTCGAACCCGAAACCTGTGGTACAGAGCGCTAGCTACTCGATCATTCAGGCCCTCTTTAGCGTTGACGCCATATCACTAGTTAGCGCGACATCGGCTATGAAAGTCTTAAATGAATATAAATAGGAAATGTATAAGTCAGATTTTTTTTTTTTTTTCTAATTAGAAATTAAAAAAAAAGTAAAAAAAGCTATTTCAATTTCTAATTTAATTTAAATTTTGAAATCGTAATTAATATTTTATTTTTTAAAATATTAATCAAATCGAGCGAAACTGGGTTTTATTTGGTGGTAATGCAATTATAGTACTATTAATAATAAACGTTAAAAAATCGTACGAGACGAAGGAGATACAAAGAAGTTGTTTAAAAATGTAAGAGTTTGTCTGTTCTGAATAAGAAAATGGAACAAGTGTCTGTTTATTTCCTCTTTTGGAAAAGGAAAACGTACACCACCAGCACTACACACTTCAAATCTCTTCAGACAGAATCTCAAGTATCCTGAGCTTGTAGGTTTAAAACTACAGAATTTTTTTTTATAGTTCATTATGCTAAGGAAAAAGAAAAAGAAATGCAATTCATTGAAATCGTGGTAGAATAATTACGGACATTGAAAATAATTTATAGGAAATTTAAAAATCACTTGTTAAACACAAATGGTTAAACACTTGTTAAATGACTGTAATATTTTATATTTTTTATTTCCAATGGCAGATTAGGAACAGTTACAGGAAAAAAAACATACAACAACAACAAATACAACAAAACATGCTGAAAGAGAGTTCATCAATCTAACAAAAATGCCAAGTTGCAGATCTTTAGCCACTAAAATGTGTTACTAGGTGCACCACGGGGAGGTAGATCTTCTGCGCACTCATGAATGTAATATAATGCATTGAATTTATTAGTTACTTCTTAGTATATTTACTATTCGTTATTCGCAAATAAATAAATAAAATTGATTATAGATAACTTTGAAAGTTTTGTCGTATGTAGCCTAGGGGTCAAATGCTATGCCAAGCGGTCAATGAGTGAGTGCATGCTCTCCTTGGCCAGTCTGTGTATCCCTAACTTACGGCTTTTCATATAAGCCCAGTGGGGCCTCAAGGCCGACTGGCTGGTTCGAGTTCTGGCAGTGCCATGGATGTTTGTAGTGGTTCGAATCCAATTTAACATGTAGATTCGAATCTCATATGGCCGTAGAGCGTCACAGAGCCCAATCAGACTTCTCACTCACATCATTCCTAAGCTGTATAGAACTCGAATTGAGTGATTTGCTTTAAAACGGTAATGATATATGATGGTTTTTTTATTTGTGCTACTTTTACACGAACAAACTCACACTGAGAAATTTATATTTGGCTGTAAATAATTAAGCGAAAAATAATATTTAATTAATTTTTTTTTAAGAAAACAACTTTTTATAATGGGCCTAAATGGCTGAGTGACTAGCGTTCTGGCGATCGGTGCCACAGGTTTTGGGATCCAGTTCCCACGGTGCCATGGATGTTTGTAGTGGTTCGGAATCCACTTTAAGCAGTAGGTCTTGATCTCTTATGAAGGTAGAGCGACACGGAGCCAAGTCAGACTTCTGCCTACGGGTGCTCCATCACAACAGAAGCTGCCCCCTTTCCCTTCAACTATGAGTCCATACGGGTTCGTGGGCTTGGTCTAGATCAGGGATAGGCAAACTACGGCCCGCGGATAGAATTTTAATTTGGAGGTCCGAGGCAAATAAAAAGAAATATATATTTATATATTATATATCCCTCTCCTTTTCTACTTTGATGAAATATAAATTTTTTTCTTATTTTTTTTCAAAGGGCTGATGATTTTTTAACTTTCTCTATTTTTGATCTGCAAAACATAAATCGATGGAAATAGCAAGCATAGACAAACTGAACTGGATATTTTTACCATGCCTTTCAACGTAAATTGGGAAGCAGTGAGGTTCAGATTTGCAGGTTGAATTGATTGAGTTGCAATCTAACAATCATCTCAAGCAGTTGTTTCTAAATAAGCCGAAGTTAGACTTTTACAAATCATTATCGAAAGTAAGTTTCCCAAATTTAATATCTCAACGCCCAGGAAATCAGTGCTATGTTTGCTTCATCTTATATACGTGAACAAGTGTTTTCAACTATGAACCTTAGAAAGAATCATTTCAGAAATAGACGGACAGATGAGCCTTTGGCCTCGTTCCTTAGAATCAGTACATCTCACTTCGAACCTCAATATGAGGAACTTTTAAAAATGAAATCGCAATTTCATTCATCTCATTAACATATTTACATACCATGCTGAATATACCGGTTCTCGTTAGATCACCGAAGTCAAGCATCATTGGGCGCGGTCAGTACTTGGGTGGGTGACCACCTGGGAACACTGTGTGCTGTTGGCAAATTTAGGACCTGAATGGCCGAGTGTCTAGCACTCTGGCGCTCGGTGCCACAGGTTTCGGGTTCGAATCCCGGCGGTGCCATGGATGTTTGTAGTGGTTCGGAATCCACTTTAAACCGTAGGTCCCAGTCTCCTATGACTGTAAGAGCGTCACGGAGCAAAAGTCAGGCTTCTACCTACGGGTGCTCCATCACAACAGAAGCTGCTTCCTTACCCTTCAATCATGAGCACGTATGGGCTCGTGGGCTTGGCCAGCCAAGTGGGATAAGAAACAACAACAACAACATATTTACATCGTAATACTTGTATATTGTTTTTAAAATTTTAGAAAAATTTATCTTGGCCCGCCAAACTTTTTCTTATTTTTGACCCGTGACCGAAAAAGTTTCCCATCCCTAGTCTAGATTCTCTCAAGTGGGATTAGGAACAACAACAACACTTCTATAATTGTTTTTAATACGTAAAAAAATGACTCCTTTTTGTGCAGACTTGAGCAAGAAAATGCAACAAATGTCTGAACCAAGAATAGAAGATGATTGTAACTGTAACGGAGATTTGTTAGATTTACTCACGTGCTGGTCTCAAGGGCAAGTCTAGCTTCGGTCGGAAATCAAGGGTTCCTCACTTTCAAGCCAAATGCTGTAATACATATCATTTCACTGTAATATCATGCATTCCATTTTTTATTTTCTTTTTATTACGTTATATTTAATTTTCAATAATTCAATAATTTTCACATAAAAAACAATAAGCGGACGATAAATAAATCCCAAAGTGTCAGTCATGTTTATGACAGGTATTCGGTCTTTAAGAGACTGTAAAGAAAAAAATAAGAAAGAAATAACCTATTTTTCTTATCAAGAATCGATCGATTTATCGTCTTCGTAGGAGCTCCATCTGAAAGAATTCCGAACGGTTGCGGAATAAAAGATAATTTAAGCTCAATTTCACAATGGAGTGTCTGATCGTCGCGGCGGTGGTCAAATGCTGCGCAGTTAGATTTGTAGGGTCAATAAAATGTATCTTTAAAAGAGGAGACATAAATCTTGTTGAAATAACATATTTTGACGTTTCCTAAAACTGCAGAATGCGGGGAAAAAAATCTTTCGTCACGTAGAATTCAAAGTTTAAAGTTAAAGCCATTTATGTTCAACAGAAAATACAAAAGGTGAGCAATTCATTGTAATTCTAAATATGTCCAGATTTGCAAGTGGGAAGACCAAAGATATGGGAAGTTTGACAACTGCATGAAAAGTTTCTAACAGACATACATTTAATTTCTTTATCTATATGAAAAGGATATATATGATCTTTCATAATCTTTATCTATATGATATATATATATATGAAAATGGATCTGTGTTTATATTCCAGCAAAACTTGAAAAACTACCACACTTCAAAAATCAATTTTTTTTTCTTTGAAATCATTACTATTATATCTGATGCATTGCTAAATAAAACCACGAGACAAATTTTAATGGAATTTAAAATGTTATTTTAACCCTTTATTGAACATTACATAATTATCACGGTTATTTTATTGCAGCCTGATAGCCGAGTGGTTAGCGCTCTGCCGCTCGGTACCGCAGATTTCGGAGTCGAGTCTCGGTGGTGCCATAGCTGTTTGTAGTGGTTCGGAATCCACTTTCAGCTTTAGGTCTTGGTTTAATATGAGAGTTATGAGGGTAATGTTACTCCCGTCCGTAGCATATCTAAGCTACATGTGCCTCTTGTGTACAGATAAGTGAGTAACAACGGCCCAGCCCTTGCTTATGGCAAAAAGATAACTGTCTATGTATTGTCAGCTGCATTAGAAAAAAAAAGTAGATTCCGAACCACTATAAGCATCCGTGGCACCTCCGGGACTCGAACACGAAACCTGTGGCACCGAATGTCAGAGCGCTAGCTACTCGGCCATCAGGTCTCTAAAAACATATGAAACCAGTAATCGAGTCAGTTGGTTTACCATGTAAATTGTGTTCCATATTAATCCTTAAAAAAAAAAAAAAAAAAAAAAAAAATTAATAATTATTATTTTTTTAAAATAAAGATATGAACTAAATTTTAATTAAACGTAAAACATCTATATAAAATTTCATCAAAAATGCTATTTTCAATTTCTTTTTTAAATAGCGTTTCCCATATTTCTTTCTGTATATTTATCTCTTCACTTTGGACGAAATGGAGTCCTTCCTGTGGAGACCTTCCACTTTGAGCAAGAACTCTCGGATAAACGTAGGGTGCACAAAATATACTTCCTATCCGGTTGAGAGTCTGTAGGCCAATTAATACGCAGGGTTGTGCTAAATATATTTCCTCTCTGGGTGAGAGACTGTAGACTAACTAAACATTTCTCAGTGGGAGCGCAAGGGTGCTCTCTGCTTCCTCACTGGTGAGATTCTCGAGACCGAGTGACACATTTTTCCGAACGCCGCAGGGGGCGCTCTTGCCAGTGAGCAGGAAGATGCATGGTTGCATTTCTAACTTGTCACAACAGTATTAAAAGACCAATAACACGAATATATATTTAACTTATTTTTATGGGAAAAAATGGGAAGGTATATAAAAATCAGAACTTAAAAAAGGAATTTCAAGTCTGAATAATAATGCAGTATTTGAAACCACAAACAAAAAAATATGAATCAAAAAAATAAAAACGCAAAATGCGCTCTGAAACAAGCTTAAATTACTTTACAAGGAAGGCAGTACAATAGAATGAAACTTTTTTACGGATATTTAGGAATTGTTAATTTATGAATATCCTGTAAGGAATGAAAGCAGACAAATTTCAGACATTTGAGTAATTTTATTTTATTGCTAATTTTCTAGTAAACAATTCTTTCTTCAAATGATAACAACAGGACAAAAAAAATGGCGTACTTTTGGAAGAACCCCTCAACACAATTGAAATGAATGCTACTGGAATTGTTTGCAAAAACAAATTGGGCTAGATCTTCACCAGTAATTACAAGTATGGATTTTAATCTATTTAAAATGTTGTTGGTAGATCCATGGCTTGGTTTGGTTTGTCGCGCTACGGTCATTTTGTGCATACTTTAGACTAATTAGACCGGGACCTACAGTTTAACGTGGATTCTGCACTACTCACAAACATCCATGCCACAACTAGGATTCGAAACTGAAGCCTGCGGTAATAAAGGCCAGAGAGTTAGTCATTTGTCCACCAGGCTGCTTTTGTTACCGAAGACGGTTACCTTCAGCAAATAATTCCTCATCAAGTGAGTCTGTTCCGATAAGCTTCTAGATCTGGGGTGGCCAACCCAAATGATCTTACGACCACTTTAGAAATGTATCCTAACTCCGCGGGCCGCATATAAAATTATATATCCCCCTATTAGATTTAGACCCCCATAGACATTTTTTGGAGTGAAAAAATGAAACATAATGAACTATTATTTTTGTGTTTACTGTTATTCTTACATGCAAACATAGATAATATAATAATAATGATACTAAAAGCACATTGTAAAGAAATGTATAAAACTCAAAATGAAATATAAAAAATATATAAACATAAACGAAATGAAAAAAATGAAATCACTAAAAAATATTTATTTTGCTAGTGCGATATTTGTTTCTCCACTCTTTCACTTAGCTTTTGGCAAATCAATCTCAATTCGAGTATTTGCACGTCTTAATGTTGGTGTTGTGCCCGTTATGTTTGAGCGTGTTTTGTGTTTGGTTGATTTCGTTTTCGGAAAAAAAAAAAAAAAAAAGGATTCGCATGTGTAAGTTGAACGAAATGAGCTAACAACTTCAACTAAGAGTCTGGGTTTCTCTGCTATCAAAAATCAATTGTGCGTATTTAGGGATGGTCACTGAGTCACTGAGGTCACTGAGGTCACTTGAATGAAACGTAGAACCTGTTATATTAGATGTTCCAAGACGCGCTCGCATCATGAGTTCGTATAAAATAATTTAATTATTCTGCGAACTCATAACTGTAAATGTATAAATAAGACAGGCAATATCTGTCATAAATTCACAAGAATATTATTTTTAAATCAAAGTTAACTTTCTTCTCATAATTTAAACCAATATATTTTCAATATATTGGTTTTCACTACTGTGGCCATTATATAATAAATGTATTTTGTAAAAATTTGATAAATCTCACGGGCCAGAAAAATATACAAGGCTGGCTGCGGGTTGGCCACCCCTGATCTAGAAGGTGAATATATCATTAGAATGAGGGAAACTTCTTTCCACACGACTCTAACCGCGGGAAATCTCCACATTTCAAAAACCTGCTCAATGTAATGGAAACTCTTACTTTTTGCCGGTAATCTGGCGTGCAAAACCTAAAAAAAAATCGCTCAGGTTTTGTCCGTAATCTGACTTTTTGTGTACTGGTATGCAAAATCTAAAAAGAAAATTACTTAGGTTTCGCCGTAATTTGATTTCTTGTATATTGGTATGTGAAACTTTTTAAAAAGTTGCTTAGGTGCACACTAGTTTAATACTTTTTAACGTTTAAAAACTTTTACTAAATACTTTTAATAGTTAATACTTTTAATAGTTAATACTAAATAATAATAGTTAATTAATTTAATTAAATTAATAATAGTTAATTAAATTAATAATAATAGTTAATAATAATAGTAAATTAATAGTTAATAATAGTATATAATAATTAATATAATAATATAATAGTTAATAATTAATATAATAATAGTTAATTAATAATAGTTAATTAAATTAATAATAGGTAATACTAAATACTTTTAATAGTTAACTAAATACTTTTAATAGTTTTGCACACTAGTTTAATATTTTTTAACGCATTGAGCCAGCCTTAGTCTGCAAGCGAGTAGGATCTTATTAAAGTAATTAGATAAAGAATCTCGATTGCGTACAATGCGAAAATCAATGTTTAGATAATTGTTAATTAATATTAAGCAGGAAAATTAGCGTTGAAAAATATTTCTTTTTAAGTAAAAATATATGCAAGTGACATTGAGTTAATTACAAACT